CTACACGAAGGTGTTAATAGTAGCTGATAGCAGCCACCATCTTTGGAGCACCTACCAGGTGCCAGGCACTGAGCCAATTACTGTGGCATGCATTATCTTATTCCATGCCTACAATGACCCTGTAAAGTGGGTACTATTATCATCTCTATTTTTCTGAGCCAAAGAGAGTAGAACGCATTTTTTTTTTAAGAAAATCAATTCAGGAAAAAATAAAAAATGTTTATGGGCTCCTTATCCCTGCTCAGAGAGGTTAAGTGACTTACCCAAGGTCACACAGCTAGCATATTAAATGACCATCCTGGGAAGCATTTGGAGAAAGGACCAAAGGAGTGTTCTGTTTCTCCCCATAGACCGGAGGACCAGGGAAGGCTGCCTAGAAAGAGGGAGGAGGGATATGAGCAGAGTTCTGAAGGACAGGAACATCTGAGCTGGTAGCCAGGGAGGCTGGAGGGAAAAAAGGATGATGGGTCAATCCCCAAACACTAAGGAAGGCAAGCCTGAGCACCACTTAGGACCTATCTACGTATTCTCTTGCCTGTGGCAGCCCTTTGGAGATTTACAGAGATCCCTTCCCCTGAGTCTCCTCTCCCCCAGTCAGCCCTGACAGGCCCAACCCTTCTTCACAGGGCAGATATAACAGCCCCCTCCCCTCCTCCACCCTGGCTGCCCTCCTCTGGACACACCCAATATGTCAGTGTTGCTCTTATATTGAAGTCCTAGGTATGGTTTAATCCAGACAGAAAAAAGAAATGTTACCTCTCTTTTTCTAAACCCTGCACTTCTATTAATGAGACCCAAGATCAATCAGGTATTAAATAGCTATCTTTCACCCTCTCAAATGGAGTTCACTGTCTACTAACACTCCCAGTTTAAACACCTCCTCCTGTTCCTGGACACGGGCAGATGGTTCCATGGACCTGCGACCAGAAACTCATTTTATTTTTTTCAGGCTCATTCCATCCTTGATCTTGGCTATCCCTTAGCATCACAGCTCCCACAAAAGTGACTTGTGGGCTCTCTGGATCCACCTCCCCAGGAGAACATCTCCTCCTCCCCAGGGAGGCTGGATTCCTACCTTCGAAGCTTCTGGAAGACCCAGAGCCTCCAGAAGATCCGTGTAAACACACCTCTGAGAGAACTAGGAAAGTCAGGGAAGCCATTAGTACCCATAACACCATTACTGCCCTTGGAATTCAAGCCTCCGTGGGCCAACCCCTAAGCACCATCCCAGCCCCACCTGCCTTGACCCCTTATCTGCCTTTAGTTTACGATCTCTACTACCCTCTCATCTGAACTTTGTGACAATGTCATCTATATTCACTAACTCCTGTTCCTCACCTCCCGTTCGGTCCTCAATGCCCAACAATTTGGCTTCTGCTACCCTCTCCCCCCAAAATAAACTGCCCCTGCCGCGTCACCTTGCCTCCTAAGTGCAAGGCAAATGGGCATTTTCCATTCCTTCTCCACAGGCCTCTCTGTAGCCTCCGACACTGTTGAGCACTGCTTCTTCCGAACTCTGTCCTCCCTGGGCCCACACAACTTCCCACTCTCCTTGTTCTTCAACCTCTCTGACCACTCCTTCTCCATCACACTCAAGGACTCTTTTTCCAAGGTTCTAGTCTGGACCTACTGCTTTGTTGTTAATCTACATGTTCTTCCTGCTAAATCTCTTTCTCGCTAATAACGATTCGGAAAAAAAAATTAGCCTCAAGCCCAGGCCTCTCTCATGAGCACTAATCCATATACTCCACTGTCTTCTGAACATTGGCCCCTGTCCCAAATTGGACTCTCTGTCTTCCGCTCAAGACTTGTTCTTCCCCTCTATTCTCTAACTCCACTGGTGGCACAATCATCTACCACGTCTCCCCAGTTATAATCCACACTCATCCTGAATCCATCCTGCCTCTCAGAGTTTAATCAGTCTCTAAGTCCTACCATGTTCCCCTAAATTCTTTCTCAAATTGTCCCCTCCTTTCAATCTCTATTCCCAATCAGGCCCCCCTCTCTCAACTCCATTCTTGTAACAGCCTCCTACTTGGTCTCCTGTCCTCTGGTTTAACCCTCAGATCCACCATTCACACTGCCCCAGAGGGATCTCTCTGGAAGGCAAACAGGACTAGGCTCCTCCCCAACATGGCTGAGTCCCACTGGCCCCAGGATAAAATCCAAGCTCCTAATCATGGCCTTCAGTTTGTCTACCATCTTCTTCAATCCAGGTTCCACGAAGCTGTCACAATGGTCTCTCTAAAAGGCCACAGTTGACTCAACACCCCCACCCCCACTGTCCGGTTTCTGCTTCTGAGTCTTTTCTCCCATCGTCCTCCCTGCCTCAAATGTTCATCCCCACCTCTCCCACTCTGACAGTCACCTGGGTAACTCCAACTTCACCTCTGAGATTCAGCTCAGGGGCGACTCCTTGGGAGAACTGCCCAGCCCCCTGGCCTGGGCTGGGACCCAGGTGCTACCATTGGTTCTAGAACTTGCCTTTGTCATACATTTCCAAAACGAGAAACCAAACTCATTGCCCTCAAGTTGATTCCGACTCATAGCGACCCTATAGGACAGAGTAGAACTGTCCCACAGGGTTTTCAAGGAGTGGCTGATGGATTCAAACCGTCGACCTTTTGGTTAGCAGCCAAACGCTTAACCACTTTGCCACCAGGGCCCCATCATGCATTTACCATCCCTCAATTTATTCAAAAATCTCCGCCTCTGAGCTGTGAGCTTCTGGAAATGCTGCTTCTCCTTTCTGTGTCCCCAGAGCCTGACTTGGAGCCTGGTATACAGAAGGTGCTTATACATGTTGAGTAAATGGACAAACAACTGAATGAAATAATGTGTGTCTAACACACACATGCCCAGAGTTTGACACACTGCAGGTGCTCCAGAAAGATTGGCAGTATTCTGTTTTCTGAATTAATCTGATTAAGACAAGGTCTGGGGTATTTTGAGGCATGATAGGGGCCGGGGGAGGGTTTGGATATAGGGAACTGAGTCAAAAGGGAAGGTTGGGGGTGCACTGCAGTGGGGGAAGGGGAGAATGGGGGTGTCTGGAACGGCAGGAAAGGAACTGAGTCCCCAGTCCACTGCCTCTCAGAGCCCGGGATCAGTCGGAGTCCGGCCGGGCTAGGCCGCCTACAACACGGCAAGCGAAAGACCCTCTGCCCTCTCTGGGGTGGCAAGACGCACCCCCCACCCCGACTCCCGCGCTCGGCGCTCAGCGCTGGGAGGCGTGTGTGTCGCTTTAAAAGCTCCCTCCCGGAGCGCCGGGCCGGCCCCTTCCCTGACAGCGCCTAGGCGAGCGGAGCCCGGTGAGCCAGGCGGCCTTTGAGGGAGCCGGCGCCCGCCCCGGCGG